CCAGTGCCGCCGGCTGGTGGTTCTTCCAGCTCCTCCCAGATGGATTTGGATAAGTTGGGGAAGCAAGGCTGAATGGGAGAGATGCGGCTTGGAGGGGTAATCTGCAAATGTGTGGCGTGAAGCTGGCGTCTTTCTGTAAAATTGCCCAGATTGCCTTTTGTTGTGCGTTTTTTGGGACTGAATGGCTTTGACAGCAAACCACTAAGACAGGCTTTGAAAAAACACTCCGACACGGCCAGAGCCGTAACCAGGAATGCAGAGCTCCGGTGAGATGAAAATGGGCACAGATTTTTTTTCATATAACTAAAGCATATTTAAATGTATATAATATGTGTACTAACCTGAATACACCATACAGGGAAAGGGGGTGCCTATCAATCAGGTGATGCCTTCAACTTCAAGAGTCAGGACAACCTCAATAGTGACTTCAAGCATACCCTCAAAAAAAAAAAAATAGTGACTTCAAGCAGGCAATAAGACGATGAACTTGCTTTCACGGGACTAAAGTTCCAGCAATTAGTAACGTACCCTTCAAGCTCATGATGCCCAGCAGACGCTTGGAGGCACTTACTTATTCGGTTTTCGTCAGCTCACGAAAAGCAGCCTAATTAAAAACACACAACAACCAACGATGAACTGGGCACATCATTAACGTCAAAACAACATATTACTCTTTTGGCATTCTTGGTGCATGGCTAATTATCCGCTGTCAAAAGAGCAAAAGCAAAATTTGGTGCGCTTTTGGTTTTCAATATCAACTCACAAATGAGATAGATATTACAAGAAAATTAACCGTATTTATAAAATTATTAGGATTTTCTTAATTCTCAGCCTAATCGGTGAAGAGAAAAGGAAAAAAAAAAAGGAAAACTCAATCCTTGAAAGAAAGAAGGAAAAAGGCAGATTGCTCGTACATCCAAGGCCCCATTTACCAAACACTTTAGCTACTTTTCAGTCGATTGAAAATTTATGTTTGGGTCAATCGATTTTTTCCCCACTGCCATATGCACTTGACTAGCGCTACAATGTGCATGCAGCTCAGGCATGCAAGCTTGCTTAATTAGCGTGAGTGCTAATCACTAGACCGATGACATGCGGACGAAAAATACTAATCTATGTGTTTCTTGGGCAGTGCCAATTTAAATTTAAAGAGAAATTTTATGGTGCTTTTGCTATTTGATAGTGTCTAAAGAAAACTGGTTCATGCTATTTTTTCTTTTCTTTTTATGTGTTTCTGTTTCTCTTTTTTGTCTTGAGTCATTTTTATGCACTTTGCTACTTGTAACTTGCCTGAATTTTAAATTTGGGTTAGTCGATTTTTTGGCCGTTGATTTTTGCTTTATGATTCATGTAGTATTTTTTTCTGCCTGTGCTACTTGTTGCACTGGGCTTGTTTGTTCCGATTGGCCGCATATTTGAATCAGTCGATTGCCACTGGACCGAAGCCCGTTAAGAGCGCGATCCAGCATTCATCTCTCTCCCTTTGTTTTTTTTGTCGGTATTTTGCTTCATTTTTTATTTCTATTTTCTGTTTCTATGTGTTCTTTTTCTTTTTCTCTTTCCTTTATTAGTTATTTTTTGTTACTTTGTGAGTTGTTGGCCCTCTCCTCGACCCCTTTCTTCTTTTCTGTTTTTATTTGGTTTTTTGCTTTGGTTTTTTGTTTTCCTTTATGGTTAGTTTGTTTTTCTTTTGTGGATGTTGGGTCAATGTAAATGTATACACACAAATACTATAAAGTATATGGAAAGCTTGTGCTATTATATTTAATTCTTTGCATACTGCAAAATGTGCAATTTCAGTGCAAAGTGGTGTGCAAGTTTTTTTTCTTTCTTTTGAAAGGGTAATACCAATGTCAATAATTCATTTTTTTCTCTAAAACTTAATTATTTTGATCTTTTAGTTATTGTTTTATTCTTTTTTAAGTTACTAACAATGCCACTAATTCATTTCTCCTTAGGAAACTTTTTTGCGGAAGTTTCACTATTGTATGCTTATTCTTGCATATTTGAAAAAAAAGAAATTTGTGTGTATATTCTGTGCAAATTTTGTTCTTGATTGTTTTAGATTTATTTTTATGTGTGTAAGTATAAATGCAAGTACTAAATAATATGTGTGTGAATTATAGTAGAATGTGGAATTTGTGTATGGAATTTTTGGATGTTGGGTCAGTGTAAATGTATACGCACAAATAATATAAAGTACCTGGAAAGATTGCACTATTATATAATTATTCTTTGCGTACTACTAAATGTGCAATGTCAGTGCAAAGTGGCATGCAAGTTTTTTTTTCTTTTTAAAGGGTTAATACTATTGTCACTAATTCATTTTTCCTATAAAACTTTATTATTTTGATTTTTTTAGTTATTGTTATTTTTCTGTAAGTTAATAACAATGCCACTAATTCATTCCTCCTTAGGAAACTTTTTTGTGAAAGTTTCACTATTGTATGCATATTCTTGCATATTGGCAAAAAGCGTAATTTGTGTGTATATTTTGTGCAAATTTTGTTACTGTTTGTTTTAGATTTATTTTTGTGTGTGTAAGTATAAATGCAAGTACTAACTAATACTCCCTCCGTCCGGAAATACTTGTCATCAAAATGGATAAAAGGGGATGTATCTATAATGACAAGTATTTTCGGACGGAGGGAGTATGTGTGTAAATTATAGTAGTATGAAAATTGCACTATTATATGCTTATTCTTTTCATATTTCAAAAAATGAAAATTGAGTGCAAGTTTTGAAAGGGTTTCATTTTTTTATAAAACTTCATTATTTTGATTTTGATTTTGTTTTTTTTTATTTTCTTTCTTTTGGAAGGGTAATATCAATGCCACGAATTTATTCTTCCATAGAAAACTTTATTTTTATATTGTTTTAATTTTTATTTAGTTTATTGATTTAGATTTATTTTTTATTTTCTTTTCTTTTGTAAGGATAACACCGATATCACTAATCCATTACTTTTTAGAAAATATTTTGTGTGTGGAAATCTCACTATTATATGCTCATTTTTCTATAATCTCACTAATATGTTTGTGGTGAGTAGTTGATTGATATTTGTGTAGCCTGTTATGTGCTCTTCATATTTCTTTCTTTTTAATATGAGCTACGTGGACGGGGATGTGTTGTATTTTGGCCTCATCATATACGTGCATACATACATAGGTATGCTTGTAATATATGGTTACATATGGAGCTGCTTGCCATGGATGCATGCACCTGTAGACAGCAATTAAGTGGATGTACTACGGAGGGGAGTCGTCCTTACATGCATTAGCTCCGACGGTGGCATCATTACTTGCTCCTAATAGTCACGGCCCAAAGAAATCACAAAGAGGCCAGAAGTGACTGACCCAAATACGATATCAGTCGATTGACATGTAGTCAATCCCTTTACCAAATGGGTCGCCAATGAGTCGAGCATAAAACTGATCGAGCTTGTATCCATTC